GCAAGCAAAATCTCACCGCCAGGCTGTAGGGTGGAAGGGAAGGGTCGGAGCCCTGGAAAGCCGCAGGTACAACTTGGAGGGGGAGAGGCGCACAGCTGCACTGTCTGGAAGAGCAGAGCCAGGGACCACAGGGCTGGCAGCTCCCCGGACCCGGACCAGACGGGCGCAGAGGGGTGAAACGCACCACGGCCACTCAGAGTTCCACCCACTCAACAGAGAGGACAAAGCTCACTCCCAGAAGAGTCAGTCATCGGAAATCACCGAACTCACATTTCAGACACACCGAGGATGTGGCTGAACAGGTTCTTTAGAAGACACAGAATAGTGAGCACACAGCTGGGCAGCAGCTGCCCCGAGACGTGAGTGGCAGATGGCCCCTGCGTTCCGGTTTCCCTGCTGGGAAGTGAGTACGGGTGTGGCTTGTATGTGGTGATAATTAGTCTTCAATCACGAGACAACGATGTCCGTGCACCGGTGAAGGGGAGTGATAGGAAGCCAGTCCTGCCTGCGAGGCTGAGACCCTGGGAGTTACAAGTCACCCTGTGGAAGGCAGTCTCCCGCCCGAGATCCAGGCACCCAAGGAGATGGACGTGCCAAGGCTCGGTGGTCGGAGCTCAGTCTCTGCCAAGTGCCCGCGCCCAGGACACTGAGCAGGCACACAGGGCACAGAGAGATGCAAAGGGAATCAGTACTCTTGACAGCCAGGAAATGTGGATATGGAAAGGAAGCACAGGGACACAGAGCTGCCCTGGGACAGCACATTTATTTGGCTCCCATACCGTACAGGGGGACGCTGGGGAACAGAGTCTTCCCTGGAGATGGACCGTGAGGGGAGGCTCTGGAGCCCTCTGCCTGATTCAAGCAATAGTCCAGCAGGTCAGCTCAGGAGGCCTCCTGTCGCCTCAAGGTTGGACCTGGGCACAGAGACCTGGTGCAGGGAAGTCACAAGAGTGTCACCTCTACTGTGGGCAGCTAGCACGGAGATAGGAAGTCAGCAGGAGGTGGGGGTGCTGCAGGAGACAGGGTTGCAGAGGAGGGCGGGGCAGGAGGGCTGGCAGCAGCCCGAGGACTGGCAGGAGGGGACCACGCACACGGCAGGCCTGCAGCTCACGGGGAGGCACACGGA